GCGATTCGAATAAAAATTTTAGGGTAGAAGCGTTGATTGAAAGAATTGGGAAGATACGTACAACCTAAAGCTGCGTCCACATAGCTCGCGGGCAGGCCAAACGAACACGTGAAACACGAGAAACATGGCAAACAGTCGGAGCGAGATGTTCGCGGCGCTCGCGACGCTCGCGGTGCTCCACGTGCTTGCGATCTCATAAAATGCCTGTTTCGACTGTTCTGACTTCAACTATATTTTTCATTTTTTTCTTAATTTTCTCTGAAACGATATGGAAATTTGGAAAAGTATAAAACTGATTAACCGTTTTAAAATCAACAAAAAAAATTATGAAGAATGCATTTTTCTCAAAATGTCAATGATAAAAATGTGTTTTCTCTTGTAAAGCCAATACAAATCCGGGGATATACTGTATAATACCGCACGATCGAAAATAAAATGGCATCCAGTTGGCTTGGAAATGAACATCGATAACATTTCCTCTATAATTTTACATAAAAAATGACACCAATTTTCATTTTATAACTATCGCTGACGCCGTTTTTTATCATATTGAGCAGAGACCAACAATATTTATTTGGAGTTGCATAAAAACACGATTTCGTCTTTTAGTCCGACATTTAATGGTTCATAGTCGGTAATATTATTTTAACCAAAATATTAACTTAAAAATTATAAATACCTTACAGATATTCCCGTACTAAGGACAGTATAAATAAGGTTTTTTTTCTTTTAAATAACAATTTTATCGTTTGCATTTTTTGCCCATGATGTTGGTTATGCCCATGATGTTGGATACAGGTAGTAGTGAGATGGGGTAGACAAAGAAAAAGACAATGGTTAACACACGTAAAACGCATGGAAGAAGACAGGCTACCACGCATAGCCCTTGAAGGGAAACCCGTGGGTAAGAGACAGCCGGGAAGACCTCCAAAAAGATGGAAAGACAGTTGGCAGTCCATCTTCCAAGAACTCCTACAGAGGCAACCTTAAAATTAACAGATCGAAAGATCTCAAATAAGTAAAAGAAGAAGAAGATGTTGGTTTACGGCTTTTGTTCAAGTTTAGATATTGGTACCTGGCTCTATGCCTATATCACCGCCGCGCCGTAGAAACGAACGATCGCATTCTGATCCGATTCAATTCTCACGTATCTTTTTTACGGCTCATCGTTCGGATTTTATGGATCCGTGCCGGCCACGATTCAACTGAACGAACCGTATTGCAAACAATGAACCAATTATCACGATTCTTTGAACGAACGATCGCGTTGTGATCCGATTCAATTCTCATGACTCTTTTTTACGGCTCATCGTTCAAATGTTATGGATCCGTGCCGGCCACGATTCAATTGAACGAACCGTATTGCAAGCAATAAATCAGTTATCACTTCTTTGAACGAACGATCGCGTTGTGATCCGATTCAATTCTCACGACTCTTTTTTACGGCTCATCGTTCAAATGTTATGGATCCGTGCCGGCCACGATTCAACTGAACGAACCGTATTGCAAACAATGAACCAATTATCACGATTCTTTGAACGAACGATCGCGTTGTGATCCGATTCAATTCTCACGACTCTTTTTTACGGCTCATCGTTCAAATGTTATGGATCCGTGCCGACCACGATTCAATTGAACGAACCGTATTGCAAGCAATGAATCAGTTATCACGATTCTTTGAACGAACGATCGCGTTGTGATCCGATTCAATTCTCACGTCTCTTTTTTACAGCTCATCGTTCAAATGTTATGGATCCGTGCCGGCCACGATTCAACTGAACGAACCGTATTGCAAACAATGAACCAATTATCACGATTCTTTGAACGAACGATCGCGTTGTGATCCGATTCAATTCTCACGACTCTTTTTTACGGCTCATCGTTCAAATGTTATGGATCCGTGCCGGCCACGATTCAATTGAACGAACCGTATTGCAAGCAATGAATCAGTTATCACTCCTTTGAACGAACGATCGCGTTGTGATCCGATTCAATTCGCACGACTCTTTTTTACGGCTCATCGTTTAAATGTTATGGATCCGTGCCGGCCACGATTCAATTGAACAAACCGTATTGCGAGCAGTGAATCAGTTATCACGATTCTTTGAACGAACGATCGCGTTGTGATCCGATTCAATTCTCACGACTCTTTTTTACGGCTCATCGTTCAAACCTTATGGATCCGTGCTGGCCACGACTCAATTGAACGAACCGTATTGTGAACAATGAACCAACTCTCACCATTTTTTGAACGAACGATCGCGTTGTGATCCGATTCAATTCTCACGACTCTTTTTTACGGCTCATCGTTCAAATGTTCTGGATCCGTGCCGGTCACGATTCAATTGAACGAACCGTATTGCAAGCAATGAATCAGTTATCACTTCTTTGAACGAACGATCGCGTTGTGATCCGATTCAATTCTCACGACTCTTTTTTACGGCTCATCGTTCAAATGTTATGGATCCGTGCCGGCCACGATTCAATTGAACAAACCGTATTGCAAGCAGTGAATCAGTTATCACGATTCTTTGAACGAACGATCGCGTTGTGATCCGATTCAATTCTCACGACTCTTTTTTACGGCTCATCGTTCAAACCTTATGGATCCGTGCTGGCCACGACTCAATTGAACGAACCGTATTGTGAACAATGAACCAACTCTCACCATTTTTTGAACGAACGATCGCGTTGTGATCCGATTCAATTCTCACGACTCTTTTTACGGCTCATCGTTCAAATGTTCTGGATCCGTGCCGGTCACGATTCAATTGAACGAACCGTATTGCAAGCAATGAATCAGTTATCACTTCTTTGAACGAACGATCGCGTTGTGATCCGATTCAATTCTCACGACTCTTTTTACGGCTCATCGTTCAAATGTTATGGATCCGTGCCGGCCACGATTCAATTGAACAAACCGTATTGCAAGCAGTGAATCAGTTATCACGATTCTTTGAACGAACGATCGCGTTGTGATCCGATTCAATTCTCACGACTCTTTTTTACGGCTCATCGTTCAAACCTTATGGATCCGTGCTGGCCACGACTCAATTGAACGAACCGTATAGTAAACAATGAACCAATTCTCACCATTTTTTGAACGAACGATCTCGTTGTAATCCGATTCAATTCTCACGACTCTTTTTTACGGCTCATCATTCAAATGTTATGGATCCGTGCCGGCCACCATTCAATTGAACGAACCGTATTGCAAGCAATGAATTAATTCTCACGATTTTTATGGATCCGCTCTGTCTACGATTCAATTGAACGAACCGTATTCGAAGCAGTAAATCGAATCACACGATTCATTTTTAATACTCGTTCAAATGAACGACTCGTTCAATCTTTGCCCACCTCTACTGTATACAGTTTCCTAAAAAAATCATAACACTTTTAATTCGGCGAGAAAATGTTTTCGTTTCTTTTTCTATCTGAGTGTAATACGAAACACATTGTATTAGTCTATTTTACTTAAAATTCTTTTGAACTTTCAGTAAAATATCGATTCGATTAAGAAACGAGGAGCAATTTTAAAGCAAACGATTCCAATTAAATTGGAAGCGTGCAAAAGATCAGCGTGTCAATTATAGGCCGGCGTGCCGCCCCATTCTCATTTCCATGTGTCATTTGGCGTCATTTCCATTGCGATACGAGGATAACGATCCCCTCCAAAGCCACTTTAAATGCAAACATCGTGCCATTCCAATTAACGGGACCCGGTGCGTCGGAATCCATTAAAAGAGTGTATTTTCCAAATAGCGTTTCTACGTTGTTACGCAAATTGCAAACTAAATTAGTTATCTAATAGCTAGAACTATGTATAAAAAATGTACAGCGTGGCACCACTCATACGACGCGGAGTCTACGAGGAGAACTACAACTTGTAATGAAATGAAATTTTGTGAACATATGTTAAGTTGATTTAAAGCATTTTTTAAAAATATAGAGAATTCTATAGGGTGCTCCCCCTATGGAACACCCTATATATTAATTGATTTTCGAATTCTAAGAGAAAAATAAAGGCGAATTTCATTAGAGAAGTATATGGCTCAAATGTAAGGTTTTGACATATTTAACAAATTTTCAAAACGAAGAATAAATTTAAAATTTCAATAAATGCTACCTAAATTATAATTTTTCCTGTGTAGCGTAGTATGTAGTTAAAATAACTATTGGTAATTTAAATCAAATTAAAATTTGATCCGAAAAGTTATACAAGGTGAGAGAAAATTAATATTAAACACTGGTCACATTTAAAAGCAATTCAATAATTCCCCATTGAATATCGGAATAATATACTGGGTGTTCCATTTAAAATAAAAGAGTAACTTGCTTTTAAATGTGACCAATGTTCAATATTAATCTGGTCTCACCCTGTATAACTTTATGGGTCAAGTTTTAATTTTATTTAGAGTGCAATGGTTATTTTAACTACATATTAGGCTATACCGGGTAAATTCCAATTTAGTTAGCTTTTATTGAAATTTAAAATTTGTTCTTCATTTTTAGAAAATGTTAAATGTGTCAAAAACCTTACATTTTAGCCATGTACTTCTCTAATAAAACTGGCCTTTATTTTTCGCCTAAAATCCGAAAATCAATTAATATATAAGGTGTCCTGTTACAAAAAACAAAACTTTCATGTGTAACTTTTTTTGGGACACCCTGTAGAACTCCCTATAATTTAAAAAAATGCTGTATGCTAATGTCTAAGCTACATATGTTCACAAAATTTCATTTCAATACAAACTGTCGTTCTCCTTGGAACCTCCGCGTTGTATGAGAGGCGCCACCCTGTATGTGCACTATGTGCGCATATTTACTGCAAACTAACAACTATTATATAGAAGGATTGGAAGGAAATGTTTGAAAAAATATAGTTCAAAATGTTGAAAAAGTAAAAATTAAAAATATGATTTTTTACGCGTAAAATATAGTTTTTTATATGTAACAAATAGTTTTTTACACGTAAAAAATAGGTTAATTTATTTTACCTGAATGCCTAGAGTACCCGATTCCACAGGCCTGGCCACTACCATTCGTACGTGGACACCGCACTGGCGTAAAACTGAGGCTACTTGTTCTGATCCCAAACCTCTGAGATTTACCTCGCCGATTTGGAGAATGTGATCTCCGCTTTGTAGTCTTCCGTCCTGTAACAAAAATAAAGTTTTACTTTGAATGTCTCCTCAATACAACCATGTCTGTTGAGAAAAAGCAATAGAGTTTAATACACCAGCCTATATCTGTTTCATCAACTTGATTAAACATATTGAAAGAGAAAAAAGTGCCTGATAATATTTCGAAACACTTGATGACGGAACAGTTGCCTGTTGCGACAGTGGTCTTTGATCCGTCTGTATACCAGGTTAGTCTGTCCTGAAGGAATATTAAAACAAATTGGCGCCGGGAGGCACGTATAGCCGCCCATACTAAAATATGTTAATAAAAAGTTGCTAGGGCTAGTTCTTTTAGTTTCAATTATCTCAAAAACTGCGACTTTGACTGATTTTGATGTTATTACAAATTTTGTTGCAAATATTCCTAATCTTAAATTGAAAGCCGCGTTTCGCTAGCTACTGTAATTTTGGAGTTACGATTTTTTTAAATTTTTAACCCCTTTCCGTACCCCCTTACCAACGCCCCACCCCCACCAAAAACTAATGGCCAGATTCTCGGGTGCCACAGTATTTTTGTGCCAAATTTGGTAAAAATCGGTTTAGCGGTTTTTGAGTTATCGTGTTACAGAAAGACAGACACACGGACAGACAGACACAGACAGTATTTAGGTCATTTATGACCCAAATAACTCATTTTGAGTGAAATTAAAAAGCAAAATAAAATTACACTAAATCACCACAATACACCAAAACACTTTTACTTTTACACTGGACGCGCGTTTCGCTAACCATGTTAGCATCATCAGCAGATGATTATAAACTAAAATACAATCTACAAGTTGAGCGTTTACTCGCCCAGTAGGTACCGAGTGGACGTGGCAAAATCTAGCCAACCGAGTCAGAGCCAACTGAGCGTAACAGTTAATTTCCGCCACTAGAGTAGTAGGAACAAAGAACTTGAAGGAATTGGACCGTTGACTCTGTTAATACTATCTTTACATTTATTAATTCTGATGCTTTGATATGCATCTAACTGCCTGTAATTTGAGACTTGTTTAATTAATTTTAAATTATTAAGATCTATACAATGTTCTTTATCAACAATATGTTCGGCAACGCAAGATTTATCCGGTCTACCATATCTTATCTGAGCTAAATGTTCTTTAAATCTAGTTAATATTGATCTTCTAGTTTGTCCAACATATTTCTGATTACAATCTTTACAAGAAATTTCATAAATACCCGACCTTTCCAGTGGAGGTGTTTTATCCTTTGGATTACCTAATAATTGTTGTAATTTATTATTAGCACTATACACAAGTTTATAATTGACGGTATTTAAAAATATTTAGACGTATCCTTCTCCACTTGAAAAGTCGAATTTTCAGAAATCATTAACCTATACCTACGTTTTCTAATTAATTTATCAACTAGTGAAGGAGAATATCCATTACACTCAGCTACATTCCTAATGTAATCTCTTTCTATTTCATATCTTTCGTTGGAAAGTGGGAAACTAAGTAATCTATGAACTAAGAAATTTAAACTAGCCATTTTATGTTCAACACTATGATGTGACTCATTAGGAATATATCTGCGTGTGGTCGTATTTTTCCTATAGATATCAAATTCCAGGCAATTATTAGTATTTCTAATAACTAATACATCTAGAAATGGTAATCTGTCGTTGTTCTCAATTTCATGCGTAAATTTAATGGAAGGAAAACGATTATTTAACTTAGAAATAAAATTATCTATGGTGTCTGAATGTGTGTCAAAAACAGCAAAAATATCATCCACATACCTAAACCATACTCTTGGAAAATACTCAAACTGATTCTTAGCCTCCACTTCAAACCTGCTCATGAATAAATTAGCCAAAAATGGAGACAATGGATTACCCATTACTGTACCTTCCCGCTGTTCAAAAAAGTTGTTATTAAATTGAAAACAATTTTGTTTCATACATAACGATGTAAGCTCAATATATTCAATCACAGTTTTGTTGTCGAGACCATTTGCGTTCAGTAATTCCTTCAAGTAGCCTAAAGTATGTGGAAAACTTTTTTTGCCGATCTTAATAGCCTGTTGGTATGATCGGCTAAAAATATTTGGTTCTTATAAAGGAATGAATAAATTTAATTCAACTAAGTGATGTATTCATTTTATTATATAATATTTCGATAATCTGAACCGCAAATAGAGTATATTATATCATTACTTTCCTCATCCGTTTTCCAATTATTAACAAGTTTCAAACTTCAATCCCCCTTCAACTTCTGTCGAAACTACGCGCACAGTTTGTCAGGGCTTTGCGAAAATGTGCCAATCTCACCTCGCAAAGCTCAGAGTGATAGAACAAGTATGCCTGAACTGTTAAAGCTATTTAAGGTATAAGATGACTTAACTAACTTGGGTAGATAGTTTTCGAGCTTCAAAATTCGAATTCTGAAGATTTTCGTTAATAGGTTGTGTTTTTATAGGTGTTAAGTTTTTAAAAATGTCAAAAGTTGACATATGATCATATCGTCTGTCAAATAAAGTAAAAAATACCGAGAGTGTAATTATTTAATAGAGACTTTTTAAGCCCCTTATTCGATCAGCTTTATACGTTAATCATTATATAGAATATGCGCAATGATACAAAAATAAGGTTATATAACCCAGATATAAAAATAGGATTACCCTATTAGTGGATAGCGTTCACCGCTATTTAGGTTCAAATAAACGGTACGCTATTACGGGATACATTTTAGCACGGTTGCCAAGTGTAATACTTATTTGGGTTAATCAAAGAAGAAGAAAAAAAGAAAACTGCTACAAATGGGTAACAAATAATACGTAAAATAGTTTATAAAAATATATTTTTTGTAGTCTTCTTTTGTCCTTCAAAATAATATAACCAACATATTTGAGTCACAAAAATTGGCAACGCCTATCCAAGTTGATGGTTGACACTTGACATCTTGACACTAATAATATTAATTATTATCTATTTCTCCGTCAGCATTTCGAACTCTAATAATATTTTCAATATTATTCATTGTTTATTATAATAAACAATTTTCACGAACCCCAAAAGAGAAAAACAAAAGTCAGTTTGTGAGGTTATTTGGCAACGTTAACGTTTGACAGATGACGTGTTAAATAAACGGTTCAAAATCTAAAATGACAGTACCTGGCCAACAAATTTTGTCGGTTATTTTTCACAAACTGCGCATGATCAGTATAACGTTTAGCGTTTTACGTCATTTACCAATTAGGCGACCTAAAAACTCTCTAATAATATCAAAAGTTGTAGTTATTTCCGGTAAAACAGGAAGTAACAAAAAACAATTGAACACGCCAATCAGTCCTAATTTATGTCATACCAAATAACTAAAAAACGCGTATCGAGAACACCTGCCTTGCGTTTCGCTGATCGAATACTTGCGCTCACCGCTTTGAAAGCGTAACGTTTTTATGTCAAAGTTACAGAATACGGGCCCAGGACAAGACACTAAAAACATTAGACCATTAAATCTATTTTCCAAGACTCTTCGATTAAAAATTCTAAACTCTAGATTGAAATTTAAAATACAAATTTGTTTTAAGCGAAAATGTCAAAAGATGACATATAATATGTCATCCTATTCAGAGTGTCATTCTCTATCGAATAAAGTAAAAAAATACCGAGGGTGTTATTTAAAAATCAAAAGTTGTAGTAATTTCCGGTGAAACAGGAAGTAGCCAAAACGAATTGAATAGGCCAATCAGTCCTAATTTATTTTATTTACTAACATACCAAATCTCGTTTTTTATCTGAAAAAATAAAAAGTTAGAGATGAGTTTTTGAGACGCACTCGGTATATCGCTGAAACTAATAGCACTAAATTTTACATTATTAAGAAAATATTGTTGATTTTGTTAAGGTGTAAAGAAATATTCTGTAAACTTTTTTATTGAACTAGTAATTTAAAAATTTAGTTTTCATATTCATAAAATTACCGCTCTTATACAGGGTGGCGCCTCTCATACGCCGCGGAAGCTCCGTTTTATTAAAGAAGTTTTATTAAAGAAGCATATACCTAAAATGTAAGGATTTTGACATATTTCACATTTTGTGAAAATGAAGAGTAAATTTTAAATTTCGATAACAGTTACCTAAATTTTTGTTGACCTTGTATAGCTTGATATTTAATTACAGTAACCATTATATGTTAAACCAAATTAAAATTTGACATGAAAAGTTATACAGGGTGAGACAAAATTAATATGGAACATTAGTCACTTTTAAAAGCAAGTTACTCCTTTATTTTAAATGGAACACCCAGTATATTTTTTCGGTGTTTAATGGGGGATGTAATATATATGTGTATATATATCTTCAAAAAATATTATTTAGGTAGCCTACCCCTCAGACAAATATTTTCCTCGTTATTTAAATTTTTGTGATTTTGCATCAGTATATCTTTATTATGTGAAAAAATCTAGGTGGCTGTATGATATACGTATTGTTAATTTAACAAAAATTAAATGTTGTAGAGTAAAATACTCAACGGTCATAAAAAGATACACGTTTAAAACATATTTTAATTATCACAGAATTAAAACTAGATATAAGCCTATAATTATGTAACAAAAATTAGCTAGATGAAATCAAACGCTCAAAATGCTTCATTTCCTGTTAACTGCATAAAATGATTGTCTTTTCAAGGGAATATTTTCATTTTAAAAGGCATTATGTGGAGTTCTACCTCGAAAAGCAGCTACATTAATTTCTCTCATGTTGTCGACAATAGTTGGTCGAGTTTTGTAAACACTGTCTTTAACATATCCCCATAAAAAAAACAGACTAGATAAAATCAGGGGCATTTAAGTATTATATTATTTGGTGAATGCACACTGCATTCACCTTTAAATAAGAAGACTAAGGAAGGAGCATATCAAAAATCTTAGGTACACCGCGATAGGCCTCAAATATGGCCGATTTAAATTCCGGTTTATCAGTGTCGTTCTAATTTTATTTAAAAAATGTAAAATTATGATGTAGG